AATGTGCCAAAAAAAAAAAAGATTATTAGACTTTCAGAATCATGAAATTTTTTAGCAATGATGAGAGAGACTTCTTGTACATGGTATGGAGTCTACACGTGTCATAATGTGCCAAAAAAAAAAAAGATTATTAGACTTTCAGAATCATGAAATTTTTTAGCAATGATGAGAGAGACTTCTTGTACATGGTATGGAGTCTACACGTGTCATACGTGGGTCATCCTGTGCTACACAATCAAGTAGTAAATAGGTTGTCTCACATATGTCATACATTGTGTTGGAGTTTCGTAGGCTTCGTACTGGTAGAAAAAGAATTCTTCTAGGATAGCTTGTTGTACAGAGCCTATCCTTTTTTTTAAAAAAAATATTGTCCAGGTGAACAGATGACATTTTGCACTATTTATTCTCTATGTTTCACTCCTGCTGACTTCCTACTTCTGTATATGATTTTATAAGATTAAATTACCTACTTGTTCTTGAGAAAGGTTTTATAATCACAACCATGAAGGAATACTTTGAGAATTAGGACTTAAGTCACTTCGGCCACTTGGAGAGTGAAACTACATTGGATGAGCAGTTTCTATACTTGCTTTCCTTTTCGCTTCTGCCTTTTCACTTTCTCATAGGCTTGAACATACACTAAAAACTTATTCAAATGTCCCACCTCCTTCCCTCTGTAAAGTTATGATTTCAATTAAGAGTTGATGGAGTGTTGACTCCATCGTAAGGAAAGAAATGGGAGACTCAGAGAACCCTCTTGCAGGGGAGACTGAGGCATCGTTGCGTTTCTCTTTCCTGCCAATACCCATTTTTTAAGATTCAATTAAACTGAAAGTTGGAAAGATGAAGGAAAAGTAATGATCTCTCCAAGCCCACACTCCTTCCTCAGTTCCCACTTTTTCTAGGGTGGACCTAGTGTTAATTTTTCAAGTAAGCGATGCATAGGTAGAATGATACGTGTTTAGCTTGTCCTAAGAATAGGTTTACAAATTTTCAGTGCATTTTCTGCCTCAAGGACCCTGCTAGGCTTCATGTGAAGCAAGAGCCATCCTGGAGAAGCTCATCAGAAATCTGAAGGTGGGGACTCAAATATGAATGGAGTTATTGAGAGTATATTGAAGTAAGCATTAACACACCTCATTTGGAAGGGATAAATTAGGAAGAAATCTATTACAGCTGACAAAGTTCTTTTAACACAAGTACAACGAATAAACAATAATTTGCAATTATTAATACAATTTAGAGGGCCTTAGCCCCTGCGACTGCGAGCACTATAGATATGCACATGCTACAAAATGCGGTTAAAAGGAATGATTTTGGCATAGTTTAACATAAGTAAGGTCACTGTCACTGTGCATCCCCTGTTCTGCATATCGCTTGGACTCGGTATCATTTGACTATGATTGATATGGTGTTGGTTCATCTTGCAATAAGGTAGCCAGAATTGGCTAAGAATATTTTAATTCATCGGCTTTACCCCATATCTGAATGTCTAAACAGGGCCAATATTTTTCAGTGATATATTCAGGATTTTTTATCAGTTTTGTTTGGATGGAGTGTGAGAGACAGTCTTATCAAATTTGCTCAACAAACTACGGTACATTTTATACATACCAATTTGTGGTCAGTTCCTAATTTGGATTGCATCACTGCATATAAAAGATGGTAGCTAATTCATAATTGATAGTGCTCTTCAGCTTTATTTTGGTGCTAATATCTTTTCTTAATATTCTTAAGTTAGTCGGCTTAGACTTTATCGGCTAGAGAACTTTGATTATTTTATTGTTTAGAGTGATTACCATGTCTTTAACTAAAGTATTCTTCATCTTTTTCTTTTTCTTTTTTCCCCCAAAAGATGAAGTTTTCAGATATCTTAGTTCTTAGTTCTCTGTCTTTCAAGTATATGTCTCTTTTCTGTTCACATATGATATGTTTTTCTTCCATTAGTTCTTGTTATGAATGATGAATGTGTCTCTTTTCTGATCAGATATGGTATGCTTTTCTTCCATTAGTTCTTGTTATGAATGATGAACAACGCATATTTTACTACTGAAAATTCCATTTACCTCAAAGAAGTCATTGAAATGACCCTAAAAATTCTCTAAGAGTGTTATATGACTACCAGTCTTATCAAGCCTATACCATGCACCCCTTTTAAAATAGTGTACTATTTCTATTCAGGAGCTTAACAAGAATCTGATAATACTAGTCTGAGATAAGGCAATCATCACCGCCCTATTGAACCTAATGGAATCATGGCTGGTCACCCTGTAAGAATGAAGAGTGAGGGCGTGTAGGCAATGCTTTGGTTCCACCTAGAGATAGGGTTAATAATACTAGAACAGAGTATGATCGGTCAACGATAATGCTCGTAAATCAGGTGCCTGGGAGGAACTGAGAACCTTAGAAAGATGGAATGACCATAAATTTCAACCTTGGAATTGTTGTTGGAGCTTTAGGATCCCATTTGTGTTGCGTTA